TTTTTTTTTCCTTTTGTTTTAATTTTTGGAACAATTTGCAAATGGACACATTTGTTGATTTATTTTTCATTAAAACATTGATTCAAATATTTAATGTAAATTATATGAATTTATTATATTTATTAAAATATGTAAATATACTTAGAACCCAATTCTGACCATAATATTAATTTTGAATTGATGTAGATTTATTTTCAGTTTTTTTTTTGTTTTTTTTGTGTGTGACTGCAGATAAATTAAATGTCTAAGGACTTGGCTCAGGTTTTTATCAGACCTGTTTGGCAGCTGCTCAGGACGTCCAGATTCCTGATGACCGCCTGAAGCGCAGAGTTTACTGTGCAGCCATTCGTTTGCAGCAATTTGGAAGAATTGTCGTCTAAATCACTGAACTGATTAATTAGCACCAGGAATAAAATCGTTACGTTTGTTCCAAACTGAAAACAACAACAACAACAACAACGACTGTAACCAGGTAAAACAGGGTCACGTTTTTTTTAACTCGTTCCAAATTCAAGGGGCTTTTATTTTGGTAGGGTGGGAACTCCAATTTCACGCCTTAGTGGGCGAACACGTCTTTATTCCTAGAATGTGCGTCGGAGCTAATGTGTGAAACAGCTGAACATCAGCGAGGCCAAAAGTGGCAGCTCGAGATGTCGTCAGGTTTCAAACCCGACCAGACGTTTAATCTCCACTCTGAATTTTATCACCGCAGCACGCAGATCCTGTAAAAAAGATGCCCGTCTTCTTTTTTTTCTGTCTGGGGAGGGTGTGTGAGTACAGTCAGTGGAGGAGTTGACTGGGAATAATTGCCCATGTGCTGTAGCTGCGCAGCGATGCTACATCAAAGGCCCTTCAAAGCCACCGAGCAGATGTGAAGCGGTGAGGTTGACCGCCGTATCATTAAACCCTCCTCTGTGGTTGTTGACAAGGCCCAGAGCCTCTGGAGACACACACACACACACACACACACACACACCGTGTCCCATCCTTATTGTGGGCAGTAGTTGTGATTTATACAGATGTGATTGGTTTTTGTTTTTTTTGTGCGCTCACGCTGGAGCCGTTCCCGCGCTGGCGTGAAAGTGCTCACCACATCGTCAGTGTTGTTGTTGTTTTGCGTGGAGGACGGGATCCAAGGGGATTTGGGTTTTGGAGACGTGCAGTGAAGAAGCTGCTCACAGTGGAACTGAAGGTGGTTTTGGTCAATTTGTCCCGTCACTCGCTCACATGTGAACCTGACCAGAGAGTTCTGGAGCTTCACAGACTCTGATTGGCTGATCCTCGGTGGTCGGTCACGACGTAAATGATAGGGTTTTGGGGGGGGGGGGGGGGGGGTGTAGGAATCCCCTGTGATCACACATCTCCACCCATCTCCACCACCTGACCCAGTCCCATCCTGCTACACCCTGGCCTCCACCCAGTCTGTA